AATGTGATCTCGAATACTGGTAATGTCGATAAAAAAACAAGTTTAGAGATCTCGAACAGTCGAGGGGTTCAATCTGGAGGGAATGAGTAAAAGTTGGATTTATATAATATAATGCTATGTAATATGTTTAATATATATTGTTACATAATATGAACTATAAACATATGTTTATATGTATACAAAGCGTGGTTTCGTGGACACGGAGTGCAGATAAAATACGGAAACGGCGACATGCAGTGGGGCTTCCTCGAAGTTTCCGGTGCGAATCGTAGGCGCCAAACACAGCAGACGATCATAATATAAACTATGTTACATTTATATACACACGCTATACACATATCGCCAATGACAGTCTTATTATATTATTACACATACATACCAAAAATCTCTATAACGTTACTTTGCGCGTTCACGGTCGTAAAAATGAAGTTTTTACGATTTAGCGATATTATCGGTTTTAACGGTGGCCAGGACGGACGGGCGAAACGGTTATATGATGTTCGCAGTTTGCGTCAATAAAAATGTGAGAGAAGGCTGATGCAGTAACGATGGGGAAAAAGCGGAAGAGCTGAGTGAGCTTAGGACTACGGAATTTTCAAAACGGTTTCAGTGTATACCCACCACTGCCACCTTCCCACTCTGGTACGTGGAACTTATGTTCTCGCCGGTTTACTATCGTCGATGCAGCCGTATTTTAAAATGTCCAGCAAGCATGCCGGGACTCGAGAATTTGTCATCATCGTTATCCACCGCTGAATGCTGTTCATTCTCGCCAATCATAACCACTACCAACGTCAATTACCCACTCCTTGATTGCAACTCTTTCATAGAACTAACACTGAAACCGTGCATTTGTGCTATTTTGAACTTCAAAAATTTACTTTCCCATGGGAGATTTCCAAAATTTAATAATTTTGCAATGTAGAGGTACCCAAATATTGAAAAAAAAGGCAAATTTGAGATAAAGTCTAGTTTAACTACAGTAACCTAACATAATGGATAGCACTAAACGAAAAATAAAACAGACCACACAAAAATTAATTTCGTTAAAACATTACAATACCTTTAAATCATTATACCAATCAATTAAGATTCCATATTCCGTTTACATAATATCAAATGCTTAAGAAACAGATTTTAATTTTAAGTTATCTCTATTCCATAATATATAATATATATTATATGTAATTTACTAAATGTATTTGAGGAGTAATATAAAAACCAGGGTAATATTTTATATGGTAATTTTTGTGAGGTGTAAATATGATAAAATAAGCGGTGGCTGAAATTTGATAGTGATGATAAATTTCATTTTTATCTAATAATAAGTTAAACTATAGTTTTATGGAAATTCTTTCATTTGGAGTACCTACCATAATTTGTTTTTAATATTTTATGTAGTATCTATAAACCACAGTTTTACTGAAACCACTGATTTMATTTATTTTGGAAAAATTAAATTWAATTAAATGTTTAAAAATGTATTGAGTAAAAACAATTTTTAAGTAAGTAAAATATTATAATATTAAAATTACAACRATGAATAATCAATGGCCTAATACGCTATGATTTTATACTGTACTAGCTGATCTTTCATGGCGTTTTCCTTCCCTAAATAAATAATGCCAGAGTCTTAATCTCTGTTAAATGTATAGTATACTTTTTTTAAACAGTCTTTAAGATGGATCCAATCAAGCGTATAAATAATAATAACAATAATAATAAATAAAAAAAATGGTGATGTTCAAATTATAAACATTAAGAACGTATTAGAATTTAAGTTAGTATGTACCAAACAATAAATTTAACATTTTTAGTTCAAAATTAATAGTATGGAAAAACATATTAACACAACTCGATTAAAAATAAATAATTTTATTTTTTTATTTTTTTTTGAATTTATTACTACTTGTGTCTTTTTGAACAATAATTTAAAATTTCTTTACAAGTACATTTTTATACATATTCTTGTTGAATACATGCTATAGTGGTTGTAAATAGACATTAAACTTCGTATCAAATTAATTATTATATATTGGAATATRTTATTGTTTACTTTTATTAAGTTATAAAATTAATTGGGGAATTAATTAACCATGTAAGTTAAAAAGTTTAAAAAAATTTATTTTCTATTAATTTAACACCCACATAAATGTATATTCTGACTTACATTTCAAGATTATCAACTGTGTTATTTCGTTATCGCTTGGCAACCATTAAATGCAATGCTTATTATAGTTATTATAGTTGTTAATAAAGGGTTATTTAGTAAAAAAAAACTTTATTGGTATGTTTCCTTACAAATTGTCACATTATTATTATTATTTGCATTCACATTCGATTTTTTTTTCAAACTTTAAATTTCCGGAATTATCTAGAAAATTATACATATATACGTTACATTATTTATGTATAAAATGTTAAACTGATGTGAGGAAATACATTTCTTATAATAAATACAGTGTAATGCATTGTTATCGATGACAATCATATCATATTTCATAGTCATCTCAATCCATCGATAATATAAGTTACTGGTAAACACAGCTTTAAATATATACAACCTATACCGGATGATTCTTTTATCATTGAACACTCATTATTTCAAAAATTACTAATGTTTTTGAAAAAAACACCTGACATTTATTTAGGTAGAACAAAACTCGATAACTTGCTACAGCCACCAGAACCGTTACGCAGATTACTCATGGGTGACCATCCTGATCACGATCACTTCATTAATCGTACAAGGAAATATAATGGTTGTTTTCAAATGACATCGTTTGGTGCTAAACAAGTTGTTGAAGAAGGTTTTATGCCATTTTTAAAGTTCAAGGCCAAGTATTCCATTTGTATGACAGTTTGATTCAAAATACTCAGGAAAACCCAAAATGTTTACAAATATTTTTAGTTGGCGAAGATGAAGAAGAAGTTCAACCTAGATGTTCTCTTTACCCAGAAGTTAAACGAGCATTAGTCAAACAGCTATAAAATATGCTGCATACTGAAAATAAGTATATTCGAGAATTTAAAACCWCAGTAGAGAATGCAAGTCAACATTCTACTAATTTTAAGGTGGTGATTAAAGCAGATAAAAAACCTGCTAATGGACAAAAAGGCTGTTACAATGCAACAACAGCTAATGAAGTAGCTTTAKTAATAGTTGGGCAGCAATTTGAAAAAAGAGATATCATCATTCAAAGCCACGATAATCAACTACAATATATAAGTGAATTAAACAGATCCTACGACGCACTTCAATACCYTCTAATGTTTTGTTATGGAGAAGAAGAATACTCGATAGATGTTTTACAGAATGATACTCAGAAGAATGCAAATAAATAATTTCCGCTTAAGGATAAAACTGTATCAGCTTCTGGCTTTTATTCATGCAGAATCATGGTTAGAAAAGAACTAGAWAA